CATCACTTGGGACTGCTACATCCACTACAACGGCTTTCCTCTGCCCTTTATCTATGATCACGATATCTGGTTGGTTCGCCATTACCATCTTGTCAGTCTGGATCTGGAAGTCCCACAGGATCTTCGCTCTGTCATTCTCCACCACCTTCGGAGGTGTTTCCCATTTTGACCTTGGGGTTTACAGTCCATCCTCCGCACAGATGTTTCGGTAGACTATGCCAGCCACCTGGTTATGGCGTTCCATGTAGGCTTTCCCTGCCAGCATCTTAACACCCTGCAGTTATGTGTTGGATCATCTCAGGTGCTTCTTTGCACACCCTACACCTTAGGTCTTGTCTGGTGTAGCATATCTGGGCCTCTATGGCTCTGGTGCTCAGGGCCTGCTTTCTTTGCACACCCTACACCTTAGGTCTTGTCTGGTGTAGCATATCTGGGCCTCTATGGCTCTGGTGCTCAGGGCCTGCTCCTGTGCAGCCAGGATGAGTGCCTCTGTGCTGTCCTTCAGGCCAGCCCTCTCTAGCCACTGATAGGACTTCTTGAGATCAGCCACTTCTGTTTTGGTCCGATGGTACATCCCATGTAGGGGCTTGTCCTCCCATGATGCTCCCTCTTCCAGCACCTCATCCTCTGCTCCCCATTGTCTGAGACATTCTCTGAGTACGTCATCCGTTGGAGCCTTCTCCTTGATGTATTCATGGAACTTGGATGTTTCATCCTGGACAGTGGCTCTCACACTCACTAGTCCCCGGCCTCCTTCCTTTCGGCTTGCGTACAGTCTCAGGGTGCTGGATTAGGGATGGAACCCTCCATGCATGGTTAGGAGCTTTCGGGTCTTAACGTCCGTGGTCTGAATCTCTTCCTTTGGCCACCTTATTATTCCTGCAGGGTATCTGATCATTGGCAGCACATAGCTGTTTATTGCCTGGGTTTTATTCTTGCCATTGAGCTGGCTTCTTAGGACTTGCCTCACCCGCTGGAGGTATTTGGCCATAGCCGCTTTCCTTGTTGCCAGTTCGGGGTTGCCATTGGCTTGACAACCAACACTAAAAAAGCCTGACTGAAAATAACTGTATGGTCATCATTCCTTTACACCAGTCTACTGAATGACCACTTGGGTGCCAAGCAACATTTGCAGGAGTATATATGAAACTCACTCTGATTTTGTCACCCAATCAATTGTTTGTCTTTTTGTTTGTCTCCCACCCTTCCCATTTCTGGGATTTCCTTACAAGGTATCTGGCCCAGGGGCTTTCCAAGGCCAGCCTGATAAACTGTCACTTCAGGCCGCTCTCGTTCAAGTTCAACTTGAACTTCAAGCTAGCCAGCGGATGCAGCATCAGCCTGCCTGGAAACAGGAGAATTTATGCCAGGCTCTGCAACTTTTGGAGAAAGACCTACAGGGGGCACTACAGCACAAGAGGGATACAGAGAAACACAACCAGGTAAGGAGAGATTGACTGCTTATGTAAATAATCCTCATGTCACTCTGCTCATTACTGCAAATGTTCAGGAGCTACGATTTGCTCTTGAAAATGCTCGATTGGCCATTATGGAAAAAGACCAGCAACTGCAAAGCAGCGAGCAAGAAAGACAAGAGCGTGTCGATGAGAGAGAGAAGACCATCAGGAAGCTGAAAATGTCGCTGCACAACAAAGACCAGCTGGTCGAGGTCAGACACACAATTTCTTGACATCACATGCTTATCCAAGAGTCACGGCTGTTAGCTTATATGAAACTATCATCTACCAGGGCCAGTCAAGAAGTCATGAGACTAATTTAATTTAACCTACAACTAACTTTTTATTTCCAGAAATGTTCTAGGTTTGTACTTTCATTACATGTTTGAAGGTTTGTTTCCAAAAAGATTTGGTTCAAGCTCCATTTCAGCCATTTTGGAAATGTTGTCATTGTTGGATGCTCATTTTATTCACAAACAATGAAGTTAGGACGTTGTCCATCCATCCATCTATCCATCCATTATCTGATCTCTGTATCCTCATGAAGGTCGCGGGCGTGCTAGAGGCTATCACAGCTGTCTTCGGGCAGTTGGCGGAGTACACACTGACCTGTTTGCCACACAATCACAGAGCACGCAGAGACAAACAACCCATTTGCGCACAATTTGGAGTATTCAATCAACCGATCATACATGTTTTTGGAATGTGTGTGTGTGTGTGTGGGGGGGGCGGGGGGAGGGGCGGGGCTGGAGGACCTGGAGAAAATCCACGCAGGCATGGGGAGAACATGCAAACTCCACATGGGAAGGCCGGGGCTAGAATCGAATCCCGGACATCTGCATTTTGAGACAGTTGTGCGAACCTGTCAACCACCGTGCCGCCCATTGGGATGTTGTGTTAAACATAAATAAAAACAGAATACAATGATTTGCAAACCGTGTTCAACCTATATTTAATTGAATGCACAACAAAGACTCGATATTTAATGCTCAAACTAATTAACTTTATTGTTTCAGCAAATAATCATTAACTTAGAATTTTAAGGCTGCAACATGTTCCAAAAAACCTAGGACAGGTGGCATAAAACACTGAGAAAGTTGGGAAATGCTCAGCAAACACCTGTTTGGAACATCCCAGAGGGAACAGGTGAATGCCAACATCTGTTTTCCAATACATCAACTCAAGAACTCCAAACCTCTACAGTATAATATAGTACTTCACGAACAATTTTTATCAATATAAAAAATGTAATTAAATAACTTCACCAGAGCGGCCCGGTGGTCGACTGGTTAGTACATCAGCCATACAGTACAGATGTGTCGGGTTCGATCCCGGCTCCGGCCTCCCTGTGTGCAGTTTGTATGTTCTCCTCGTTCCTGCGTGGGTTTTCTCCAGGTACTCCGGTTTTCTCCCACATTCCAAAAACATGCATGGCAGGCTGACTGAACACTTTAAATTGTCCCAAGGTGTGAGTGTGGGTTCAAATGGTTGTTTGTCTATGTGTGCCCTGCGATTGGCTGGCAACCGGTTCAGGGTGTCCCCCACCTACTGCCTGAAGGCATTTGGGATAGGCTCTGACATGCCTCGTGACCCTTGTGATGATAAGCAGATCAGAACATGGATGCAACTTCACCAGAGAGCGTAATGCAGAGGATCCTATCAGTCACTCAGACATAACCACTCGGAAATTGCCCCGTTGCCCTCAAAAAATAAAATAAAATAAAGAATTCAGGAGTGAACCAAGCCACTCTGCAAAACAGTCCAGATATTCTTGAAAAGTACGCCTTGAATTTTCAGTCATGATCAGATATCGTCCTCCAACGTAAATCAAGCTTCGGCCGCCCATCGAGCTGAACAAATCAGAAACTATAGTAGTTCAGTAGAAGACATATAGCGATGGTGTCCTTAGTGGATCTGTTTGCTTTTTATGCAAACTGGTGAGGGTTGAGTGTGGGAGGCATATTTTTTTTAATATGCTGTGCATCAAATTTCTCACTGCATTTTGTAATGATGGGTGTGAGAGCCACGGGCCTTTAGTCTTTTAGCTGCATGTCTTTTTGTGAAATGGGATGAGTGTTGATATTTTTAGACAGGAGGGACTGTGGCTCGTGATAGGGAGTCGTTTTTGTCGATTTTGGTGAAATCCCGAGTCAGCTGGTTAGCACATTCTGAGTGTCTTTCATGGGACTCTGTCAGGACCGTCACCTTTCCTGGGGTTTACATTTCTCAGCACGTCTGTGAAGTTGTTGGGGGTTGGAAGGAGTGGTCTGCATTTCAAGGGTCATTCAGCTTCAAAGCATGGTGAAGAAATGGTTCAGTTCCTCTGTTCGTGAAGCGCCCCTGTGTCCACAGATGCAGGATTGCTGTCTTTGTAATTTGGGATGCGTTGGATCCCCTGCCACATATTCCTCGGGTTGCTGTTGCTTAAGTGCTCCTTAATCATCCTTTTGTAGGGTTTTGTACCTGAAGGCAGTGTTGTGGAGAGATTTCACCATCTGGTGTCAACCATGCAGATGGACAAAGACCAAAGTATACTGCGAAAGCAGCCAAACAGTTTTTAAAGGCAAGAAAATTGATGTTCAGTGTTTATTAATGGCCAAGTCACCTGACCCGAATCCATTTGAACATGCATTTCACTTGCTGAAAACAAAACTGAAAGGAAAATGCCCAGAGAACAGGCAGAAACTGAAGCCAGCTACAGCAGAGGCCTGTCATAACCACACCAGAGATGAAAACCAGCATCTGGTGATGTTCGTGGATCCGTGACTTCAGGCAGTCCTTGATTACAAAGGATTGGCAACGAAGTATTGAAAAGTGGCAAACTTATTCATGATTATGTTAGTTTGTCCAATTACTTTTGGTCCCTTTAAACGTATAAAATGTGTTGTAATTGCTACCCCAATCACATGATTTGGATATAAATAGCCCCAAATTAAAGCTCAAATTCTACACTTGGAGCAAATATTTATTTTTTTCATTTGAAGTCTATTGTGATGTTGTACAGACAACATCACAATGCTGGAATGCTGAAAATGATGTCAATATCGAAATATGTATAAAGTAGATCCCCAAAACAAAATGAATACAAGTGCACGCGGTGGTAATCAAATCTTGATATTTTTTTCTTCATCAGGATTACTTGGAGCTCTTGGAAGTCATGAAGGAGAAGAGAGATCCATTGTTCCAAAAATTGCGGCAGCGCCTGAAGGAGAGAGACAAAGCCCTTGAGGTAGACAATACACAAATCCACCAATAGAATCACCATAAACCACCAGAAAAAAAAAGAAGAAAAAAAGGTTTTTCTGTACAATAAGGCGCTTCGGATTATAAAGCGCACCTTCAATGAATGGCCTATTTTAAAACTGTTTTCATATGTAGGTGCACTGCATTACAAGGCACATAGAAGCTACAATAGTGGCTGCGGTTGCGCTATGCATCCACTAGATGGCGCTAGGTACAGGAATACAATACCATACAATACAGCTTTATTTATAAAGAGCCTTCACAACCACAGCAGTTGTAACAAAGCCACGAGAACTGGTTAACAAACACGGACTTGTAACATATAAATACAAATGGCATTACAAAACAATAAATGAAAACCAAAAGTTATGAACGAAGGCAATTGATTCAACAAAAAGGCACACAAACCTCCTGGGCTCATGCCCACAAGAGGCTAAATATCCTTAAAAGTCTTGCTTGTCTCCTTCTTCGTTTTATCAGTAGTTAACTATACTTTTGTTCTTATCTTGGTTTCATAATGGCTGCGTAGAGCTCACAAAGTACCATATTTTCCGGACGAAAAGGCGCACTGGATTATGAGGCGCACCTTCAATGAATGGGCTATTTTTTAACTTTTTTTCATATATTGGACCCACTGGATTATAAGGCGAATTATACTAGCATCCACTAGATGGAGCTAAGGTCCATCCGTTCGACTCGAGAGGCGTTCATGCCGCCTCCGAAAAACATAAAATAACATTACTTCAATGAAACTACGAAAATTGATAATAATGCATCAAAACAGAAAATCAAGCAAGGAAATCACAAAATAAATTCTATAGCCCCCTTTGGCATTTCCTTTAGCGTAGATACAACAGAACGATCAGATGTCAGTAAAATGTAGGAGACTGGACTGTCTCATAAGTGTTTATTTATTCCTTTGTTCTCAACTCAAATCAACTGTATTTATAGAGCACTTTCAAACAGCCATCACTGCATACAACGTGCTGTACATGGAGCAAATTAACATATACAACAAACAGTAAAGCAAATCGGTAATAAAAACAGTAGAAAGCACCGAACAGCAAAACCAAGAACAATCTAAGTCATGCTGAGTAAAATGCCAAAGAATACAAGTGAGTTTTGAGGCGGGTTTTGAAGATGGGCAGCGAGGAGGCTTGCCGAATGCTCAGTGGGAGGTCATTCCAGAGAGAGGGACCAGCAACAGAAAAGGCTCGATCCCCTCTGAGCCTCAGTTTAGTCCTTGGTACTTCTAATAATGTCTGGTCCACAGACCTGAGGCGCCGGGCAGGTGTGTAGGGGTGGATGAGCTCAGAGAGGTAAGGTGGCGCAAGGTTATTTAGAGATTTGAAAACAAATAAGAGGATCTTGAAAATAACTCAAAAATGTATGGGAAGCCAGGGAAGGGATGCCAGAGTAGGAGTTATGTGCTCCCTCTTACAAGTACTGGTCAAGAGGCGAGCAGCGGCATTCTGGACCAGCTGGAGACGCTTAATGGAAGACTGGCTGACTCCAAAGTAAAGGGCATTGTGGTAATCGAGCCGGGATGTGACAAAGGCGTGAATTACTGTCTCAAAGTGTTCATGAGAGTGGAGAGGTATTACTTTGGCCAGCTGTCTAAGGTGAAAGAAGCTGGATTTAACAACGGCACCAATTTGCCGGTCAAGTTTGAAATCACTGCCCAGTTTAAGGCCCAAGTTTGAGACTATTGACTTAAGGTAAGGAGACAGGAGGCCCAAGTCAACAGGATGGGATGTGCAAGGGCCACTGGGACCAAACAGTATCACCTCTGTCTTCTTTTCATTGAAAGTCAAGAAATTTTCTGCCATCCAGGTTTTGATTTCTTCCAGGCAGGAAACAAGTGGCCTTAATGAGAAGGCGTCTTTTTTGCTCAGTGGGACATAGATCTGGCAGTCATCTGCATAGCAGTGGAAGGAAATACCAT